ACGTGTGGAACTTCCGACACCATATTTACTAGTTTTGTACCAAGACACACCTATGGTGCAAATTTCATCAAAATCCGAGACATGTCATTTCCAAGCCCTATAGTAAATTCGTTGGTGCTTACAGAGAATGCGTGTTATATAATACGTGTTCTTTTTTCCATTGCTCTGATGAGTATCTTACAATTAAGCATTGAATTTAGCGCGGTATGATAATTTGTCGGCCCGGCCAAGTGTGTTATATAACCGAAGACATCCAAAAATATGAATTCAATGCTTATATTTACATTCTCCAATTTTCCTTCTTCATAATTGCTTATTTCGTTAATCTTAAATGTGAATTTAGCGCCCTTCAAAACTAAGATGTAAGAGTTGTTTGTGACGTCAAATGACGTAAAATGACGTTGCAAAGTTAAATAACGCAAACAAAAATTGCGATGAAAAAAGTGACAAATTAATTTTTATCGCACATTACGTTAATTTTTCAGGGTTGTAGTTTTTCAAATTGAAATAAAACATTTTACATTTTGGTGTTCCTAGAGTATTGAAAATGCATATATTTCCTACTGTGTATTCTAACTTATTCCCAAGTATGGTGACAAGGTTTCGCGTGTGTTATAGAAATTTGAACGTCGCAGATTTCTAATGGATTTCATAAGGAAAATTACACTGAATGTAATTATCTTAAAATGAATGCATAATGCTTTGTGTAACATCTTCATAATTTACTCTAGTGAAATAATTTAACATCCCTCTCCCTCCAATGTAAATGTCTATAACTTATCATTCTTATAGGTTCTATAGAAATTGGTGGCATTCGTCAGGCAAGCTTATTGAAAAGCTGTTACTTGTATATATGTAATTGATTATCTAGTAACCATAAGTAGAGAAATCCATGAAATTTTGACTTAACTACTGTATACGTCTGAAAAAATCACAACAAAATGAAGCCGAATTCTGGTTATGATCGATAAGTAAACATTGATTATATAATAATGTTGTGTGAAATGTTTTTGTCATCTAAATTTAAATGCATTTTACTCAAAGTGCAGGCCATGGATTTCAATAGCGGTATTTCTTTGTTGAATATTTAAAACCCTTCAAGGACGAACATTTCGATTTAGTTCTCAAATTCAAACCTCAAACAAGTGTAATCATCTGCAACAGCTCTTCTTTTCGAATTTTAAATTCGTTGACGCAATACTGTTAGTTTTTCAAGACAATTTCTAAAGAGTAGATCGTTTTAAATCTCCCTAAAAGTTCATTTTAATTGTGTGAATTATTGCTAGGTCGTGTAATTGAAATAGTCTGCATTAAAGGTAAGGGGAAATAATTTACTGTATAGAAGGATTAAATATTTATAAAGATTTCTTTGAACTAAGTATTAACCGTTTGATTATTCACATTATTGAAGAAACATTAACGTGTAGATGTCAGACAATTTTTAGCCGGGCTTATTGCTCAAAGAGCAATTGCCGGCTTATGTCATCCTGTTCAAGGCAGGAAGTCAACCCCATAGTCGCCATTTTAAAGTTTCGTGCAAAAATATAGTTCTTACTCTCAACTGCTTTTGAGATTATACAAACGCTAAATAAAGCAACAAAAATAAAACGAAGTTTTATCTATATATAAACATTAGTAGTAATGACTTTGAAAACTTCAGTCCTAAGTCAAAGAACATAGTTCATTAGCGTAAGGATTTTTGATAATCAGTGTTATCGTAGTTCTCGACACATACGAGGTAAAGCAGGAGAGGGAACCAGACTGGCCTGTTTGATTACATTCAGCTGCGGTACCAGATTAATTCTGATTCTGACAAAATCGGACCGTTGTATTAGGATTAAAAACTCACTGTCAGTGTCTCTTATCATTTATATTGATAGTTTTAAAATAATTTTGTCATCAGAATATCAACGTGATTCATGTAAGAAATTCATTCTACTCTGTAAATGAGCCCGGCTCTCTGTACTTCTGAGTACTTTGATACACAATACGTTTACTAGTATTTATTTTTTATCGCGATGGTATTTATTTCTGCAGTTATTCCATAAGTATGTAAGTATCACTCCAAATTAAAGCTAGATTTCAATTTTGATTTGTTAAACCGTTTTCAATTGTTAACGGTTCGACCATTAGGGTGAGAGCAGATACTCTTCAATTTTTATTTAGATCGGGCTCGTCAAACTGCCCGTGAAATTTGCTAGGTCTTGATTCTGACGTCATTTGATATTGTTGATTCCCTGCATTACCAAAACGAAGTCTTAACATGCCAATTTTAATCAACTTTTGATTTACTACATGTGTATTTATCTACTTGATTTCCACAGTAAAAAAGAGTTTCACGAAAATTATTATGTCATCTCTCTTTGATTCCTCGAACACGTTATGTTTTATGAAAATTAAAATAAATATCTTAATGAAGATAAAAATAATTCAAATATGTTTTTATTTGAAAATTGGCTTGGAGATAGTCCAATCCACACTTTGCAATAGTTATGTACCTTTGCGGGGTCGTTCAAAAGGGAAAGAAGTGACATTTCTCCTGTATTTGCTACTAAACATTTGGACGTGATCCGAATAATCCACAGTGTTTAATATTTTAACTTTCTATATGGGTAACCCCATCCTGGGGCAACCATTATCTACAAGATGCAAATAATTTTTCCAGTCAGATGACAAAATTACTGACCGGAAAACTATAAAGGCTACTTTGAGGATTCTATGAGTGTTTCCCTTAAAGTGGCGGCCGAGAGACATAACTTTTGAAAAGTAAGGATTCAACTATGGGCTGGAGTAAATTGCCGTTTTTTTCTCGATGTATTCTCGGCACTAACGGCCATTGAACATAGAGGGGTCTTTTTCGTGCCAGCTTGAATCTACTGCAAAACAGGACCATGGCTTATATGGCCTCAATTGAAGGACCGTTCTCCACGTCCCGTTGCGAGATTCGAGCCCGCGACCTAGGGATCAACTCCTTACCACCCAACTCTAGAGCAGACGCTCAAACCACTGCGTCACGCGGGCGACGGGACCACAGGGAAAAAAATAGATGAATGTTTAAAGTCCGAATTTTCTCTGGGCTCAAGCTTTATTTGTATTGCTCGCAGTGAGGAGCTGTACATACACTGTAATCGATGTATATATCATATAACTCTTTGTTAATATAACTTGAATAATGATTAATAATTTGTCATTCAACTTCTTTCACGCCAACAACACCATTATTTACAATATGCAGAATGTTCTAAAATTTGAAAATGGATGAACGTGACATAGAAGACACATCTCTGATTAAGGAGTTCGGAACTCCTAAATTGGTTTTGTCCGTTATCGGTGATTCGGACAGCTTCGTCCCCAGGGCCTGGCCCAAGTCAGTTTTCCAGACCGCGGTGATTGAGACGCACAAGAGTAGTGGAGGAGGTTAGTGTCAGATTTCCTTTGCATAAGGATTGGGGGGGGGGTGTTCGTTGATTTTGTAGGCCACCCTTATTCATGGACAACTTGTTTATACTTTAAACCAAGTTTTGCTTGTTCGCAACAAAAAATTCTCCCCCACGAACCACTGAAATTTTTATTGTCCCCAAATGAATCAAAATAAGTCCACCGTACATCTATATAGTGCAAAAGTATCACAGTGAGTTCTACTTTATGTCGCGGCAGTTAAATACAGTTTTTATAGTGAAATATCATTGAATTCATGAGCAATTTTCATTGAACGGGGCCTCGGCTTATACGGTCTCATCCAAAGGACATGTTTCAACGTCCCAAAGTGGGATTCGAACCCGCGACGTATAAGGATCAACTCTTTACTCCGTGGCACTCCAATCCTACAGCAACATCCATCTTTAGCTTTTAATCCTGACCTGGAAAACAGAGATATCTGTAGAGAAATCAATTTCGTATTGCTGGCAGATCCTTTTGAGATCAATCACTTGTATTTTAACCATTAAATAGAAAATGTTTACCTAAGGTTGTGTTTTACCGCCTTTGAAAATTCGATTTAACAGCAGATCTACATGCTAACAATGTTTATATCGAAAAATTCAAACCATTGAGCGTTGAACCCAAGTTTTCAATTCAGGTTTTGCTAATAAAATTAATTGAAACAAACGTAAACATACAAAATATTCGATTTTCAAAGTCTATCTATATTCAAAATAATTACTATAACGCGCAAGAACAATTTGTCATTACATGCATTTCTCGAGATTCTCTAATTTTAACTACATTATGTTATTGGCGGCAAATAATGATTGGGCTTCTCTCGAAGTTGTAATCGTTTTCGCACAAGATTTAATCCTGTTTACATTATTCTGCTACTAAATCATAAAATTATACGTTTTGAATTCAAAAGATAAGTTTTGGGAAAAGTTGTACTGATCGAACTAATATTGTTTCTTGAACATGATGAAAGCACAGAAGTTTGGGTATTTTAAGATGTGCCAAAAAGGATGTGACATTTAATGTACACAAATACATGTAAGTGGACATTGTAGAAAATCGTGAAAAAGGGTGATATTTTTCTCTCAAGTTCTTTTGCCATTTAACCAGCTATTTATCTCTTTAGTAAAACAAAAGGATTTGATAAGTCACAAAACCGGACTTTATTTTTTGTATGTTTAGATACATGGATTCTATACGGGAATAAAAATGTGGGTGTGTCAAATATTGTGAGAGACGCAAAAGATGTGTACACTACGATGGAGAAGTCAAAGACTAAAAACGGAAACGATATTATATTGATTGGAACCTCATCAACAGAGTCTACTGAAAAAGACCAAATTCAAATTGAAGATCAAGAAAGGATCAGTGTACGAATGTTTAAATACATAAATCTACACATTAAGAAAAGAATGTGTTTTATTCAATTTATTAAGAACACAGAATAAAAATTCTAATATTGAAAATATATCCCCAGTTTCTTTTTCTCAGAAGTGAAAAAAAATAATTGAATGCTTAACGATTCTGTACTAGGAATAATTAATTTTTTTTCAGCAAAATAGTGCCGTTATTAACCTGTCAAATTTACTAGGACAAGAAGAGTTTGTTCAGAAACAAATGGTGTCAATCTTCACAAGCTTAACAACTGAGGAACATATTCCTGGTTTTGGTAATAATACATATTTTATGACTGTGACAGTCTATTAAAATACAGTTTCATATTAGATATCATTTATTTATTGTAAGGGGTGGTAAGAAAGTTCGTTCCAGGACGAAATATGTTCAAAAATTTTAAAGTAGTGCTTAACTAAAAAGATGAATTTTCAAGTCTTACAAAATCACAAGAGTGTGCTTTAGATTTATAGCAATTAATTTCTAGCAGGAAATAATAGGATTTTTTCCATATGAAAATATATATAACATTTTCAAAACACCTGATAGAAATACTGGTCTATTTGAGTGAAAATAAAGGATATTTTACTTTTGTTTCTTCATAGCTTATTTTAAATCAGACAAGCTGATAAGCTTAGGTATAGGAAGGATAGATCACTTTTTAAAGAATAGGTTTGTCATTTTGAAATTTTTCACAGATTTGATAATTTTTTGCTTAGTTTTTGAAAGCATGTTTTGACCTATGTGCTTAATATATGTAACAAATATGCATCATCCCTAATTTTTCTGAACAGACATCATCTGTTTCAGTACCTGCCCTCCCCCTACTGTTTCAACAAAAAGACAGTTAAAACCTTATCAGTAGCAAAAATGGACTCTGTAAATATGAAATATCACAAACTCTAAAAATCTTCTCATCGTATTTCTTTTTGAAAATAAAAGAAAAATGTGGAACGAACTTTCTTAACACCCTTTACATGTTCAGAACAAAAATAAAGTAGTTGTAATTCAATCGAAGCTCATAGTTTTCCCACCGCAGCTCGATATTACTTTAAGGAATGTTACGTATACACTCTTATCATGTTAAAAAATTTAATTGTCTTCATCACTTAAGTTTTCCTTGTTTTTGCAATAGAAGAGTATTCTGTTATTATGAAGTAACTGAGTCAAATAGCTTTAGCCAAATATACGTCAGTTAAACACATTAATAACAGAATGCCAAGGCGTAATGAGCCTCCTTAATTGAGAATATTTACTTCATATTTGAAAAGTCGAAGTCACTCGAAGGATACGACTATAATTTTATTTTAATTACAAAGAAATGTCAGTCTTATGAAAATTTGAAACCATTAACATTGATATTTGCATAATATAAGAAAAAGTTTTGCAGTTACATTTTTTACCGATAGTCATGCACATACCGATTGTGATTATCCTTCTGGAGGGGGATGTTGACGACATTAAACACGTGGCGGAAGCTGTCCATAAAAATGTACCAGTCATCGTCATCAAGGGGTCAGGTAAAGCAGCCGACATCATCCTGGATTTTCTAAAAAGGTAAAAAAAAAGTTTATACAATGAAATATACGGAGATAAAGAAGAGTATTCAAGCTCAAAAGTCCATTAAAGAATTCAAAAGTAAAGCAAAGTAAACAAAGACCTCCTAAACATGAGAGATGAATCAGGTGCCATAAAGGAGTGAGCATTCCCGGCCGACAATTGTTTTTGAGATATTTCTTTCATTTTTTTGTTTCTCTTTTCTCTGGCTGAGCTTTCTGTAATCTATGTAAGAGATGGATTGAATGCTATAATTTCCACCAATACAACAACAGATTTTAGCTCTACTGGTCAGAGACCAGAAGAGCTTATGCGATAGTAATGCGTCCGGCGTCCGTCCGTCTGTCTGTCTGTCCGTCTGTCTGTAAACAATTTTTCAAAATGCTACTCCTCCTACAGTTTTGGTCTAATTTCAATATAACATGGCACACAAGTAGACTACACTAAGATGCATAATTCTGTGTATCGGTTTTTGATTTCGATGAACGGTGTTGCCGTGGTTACTAAAAATAGAAATTTCTGTGAAATTCTTTCAAAACGCTACTCCTCCTACAGTTTTGGTCTGATTTCAGTATAACTTGGCACACAAGTAGACTACACTAAGATACACAATTCTGTATATCGGTTTTTGATTTTGATGAACGGTGTTGCCGTGGTTACTAAAAATAGAAATTTCTTTGAAATTCTTTCAAAATGTTACTCCTCGTACAGTTTTGGTTTGATTTCATTATAACTTGGCACACAAGTAGACTACACTAAGATACCTAATTCTGTGTATCGGTTTTTGATTTCGATGAACGGTGTTGCCGTGGTTACTAAAAATAGAAATTTCTGTGAAATTCTTTCAAAATGCTACTCCTCCTACAGTTTTGGTCTGATTTCAGTATTACTTGGCAAACAAGTAGAATACACTAAGATACATAATTCTGTGTATCGGTTTTTGATTTTGATGAATGGTGTTGCCGTGGTTACTAAAAATAGAAATTTCTGTGAAATTCTTTCAAAATGCTACCCCTCCTACAGTTTTGGTTTGATTTCATTATAACTTGGCACACAAGTAGAATATACTAAGATACATAATTCTCTATATCGAATTTTAATTTTGATGAACAGTGTTGCCGTGGTTACTAAAAATAGAAATGTCTGTAAATTGTTTCAAAATGCTACTCCTCCTACAGTTTTGGTCTGATTTCAGTATAACTTGGCACACAAGTAGACTACACTAAGAACATAAAGAGACTTTATCAACGATCATTATTCTATTTAGTTTCAAATCCCAGCTGCTTAAGTACTTTTCTCTTCCTTTGCTATAAGTTCAAACCAGTAGAGCTTCAGTCTCGACAGAGACTTCTGGTTTTCTAATTGATACTTCTCGTTTATTGTGAATTGGTGCAGCGAGGAAAATCTGCGTAGCCAGGCGGCGCTTCTATTTGGACTCAAGTTCAATGACGATCATTTTCAGGAGTTGGAAAAGAACTTACATAGACTGAAAGAAAGACCTTGGATGGTATGTGTATATAATAATATAAATTTTACGTTAGTGTCGGTATACTATGTTGAGGGCCTTATCCCCTTACCTAAGTAAAATAGGCTTATTCTTGCTCTCAAAACTATTTACCAGTCATCCGAAATCTCCTCTTGTTACTTTTGTATCGGTATATTAAAACAGTTACATGGTATATCTATGAGGGAGTTATAAAATTTAACATTTCGATGAAAGTCACCAGAACAAAATTCTTTATTTTAGGTGAGCGAGTTTGATACTGAAAATGACGACCCGTTGATGTTTCCCAAACTTGTTGGCGAAGCAGTGGTGAGAGGATGGGCGTTGGAAGAAGTTCACGGTACGGTTTGTATGGAGGTTTTATTCCAAATCAGTCTGTATACAGCGAAGGTGTTTTCGAACTTTCCATAGACAATTCTTAACTTACCAGTCACCTTTTCGGGTACAGGAATACAAATATGTTGGGTACAGGAATACAAATATGTTCAATTTAAGCGCCATACCAGCCAAAATCTGCCTAATAGTTATCGCAACATGTATTTTCCTGCTCTCCTAAGAGGCGCGATGGATAAGGTCTTTGGCTGTAGAATCGCGGATTGAGTTGATCCTTACGTCGCGGGTTCAAATCCAACCGGTCCTTGGCATGAGACACCATAAATAGAGGTCCCTTGTCGCAGTTGTTTCTTGGACGACAAAACAGCAACCCACCACTGCTCAAATACCGAGTTCAAATCTTAATTTGCGAAGCTCTATCATTATAGATAAATAGGGATTGAGTGCTATACATGTAATAAATCAAATATACATGCAAGAGAATTCATAAAAATATATCTCGTCCCTTCCTTCTGTAAAATAAGCGTTTTTGATCAGTGAACAAGAAAATATAAGCCAATTAATTTGAACATTGAAAAGGAATTGAAATTTGATACGTAAGCACTCTATTTTAATACGAGCAACAGAATATAGAATGAGTTATAAGCGATATATTTCGCACAAGAGAGAATCTGCTCGTCTATCATATATATACGATATGTATTTGGCAAGTTCTAAATAATTAATTCTTATAAACGATCCCAATTTTTTTTTATTCCAATCCGTACGCAAGTGTTTCAAACTAAACTACAATACAGGTAGTATACATGAAACATTTTACATGTTTGTCTGTGATTGAGCATGTCCTTCTTTATATAAAATATTTATTATATTTATTTTATATAGAATCACCCGCATTACCCGAAAAAAGCGAAATATACGACATCTCCTCGTACCAAAATCCGAATGTTCACAAAGAAGTTCCAAATGGTTCTCTAGTTAAAGAAAATGGTAATTTGGGCAGCGAAAATAAGCATGACAAACCGGTTGTATCTTGGAGTATGGAAACTCATAAAGACGAAGTCACCAAGGACAAAAAAGTCACCATTGCCGAAAAATTACTGACGTCTTTTGGTAACGAGGGTTATATCGTGGATTCCAAGTTTACATCTCCACCCTCACTTCCGCTTTATTTCTATGTGGGATATCAAGTGTTACAAGAACATAGCCTACTCATGGATTGTGGCCACGTAAGTGAAAAGGATAAAGTTTACTTTTTATGAAATGCGTTTTAATTGCTGATAAATATGCCTGAGCTGATATTTTATTGTATCGCAATAAACAATTATTATATCCCTTCTCCGAAGGAGAGAGGGGTATACTGTTTTACCAGTGTGTGTCTCTCTGTAAAAACATTTGGTCACAGTTTTCTCAGCAACTACTCATCGCAGATGCTTGAAATGTTAGCACACTCTTCGTTAAGGCATGCCATATGGTGGGATTCATTTCTGTTCAAATCTGATGTCAACTTTTTTTTGTCCGTGCGTCTGTCCGTTCCATACATGTTTCACACATGACAAATTTTCGTCACAGTTTTCTCAGCAACTCCCCCTTTGTCAGTGTATCTGTCCGTTTCATAAATTAACAAATTTTTGTCGCAGTTTTCTCAGCAACTACTCATAACAGATGCTTGAAGTTTTAGTACATACTTTGTTGAGGCATGCAGTATGATGGGATTTATCTTTATATGATCCCTGCATATACCCGTAACGTTTATTAACATGATTGTATATTCACATCAGAGAGGGGGTATTACTAGTGAGCATTGGCTCACCGATTTCTTGTCGACTTTTGATGAGGTCAACTCCTGGCTTTACGGGACTGGTACAGTATTGGTTGACAAAGGCCGACCACGGTTAAACAATTCCTTGCCAGGTTACCAGTAACGAATTCGAAAAGACCGCAAATTCAAAAGTCATTAAATGATTAATTTATTTCTTGATTAGGAATTTTACATTTCTTACATTTGATTCTTGTCGACCACAGATTGAGGCGTGCTATTAGACGATCAGCTTAACACATGTTTATACATGTATATGTATTTAAAAAAATACCATGGTGTCAGATACAATAAAATATCAACGGTGTGCTAAGAAAGAAGTTTCACATCTTAAGTACTGGCATCTGTCATGTTTAAATGCACACAATGACACGTGCTTTAAAATGTGCAATTAGATAGGTCGAAAAACTAGAGGTACTGTGAGCTATGAGCTCACTAAATGATACCCCTGCATCCCATAATGGCAAATTCATGTTTTGCTGTGGCCGGGAAACCCAAAATATGTGTCGGTTAAAAAAGTAAAATAGGAGGTGCACAATGGCATTATGTAATAAAGTTTCTGTGAAAGTTTCATTAAATTTCACTGAGTGGTATAAGAGGAGTTGCGGATAAGACAGGCACGTAGCAACAGAGGGGGGCCTGGCCCCCCACTTTTTTTGTCAAAAATACTTTTACTATTGAAAATGTTCATTTCCCCAGAGGGCCAATTATTAAACAATTTAGAATCTACTCTACCTAAGAAAGCTTAAATATAAGTGTTAGCTTTCCGAACACAGTGGTTCTTGAGAAGAAGACTTTTTAATGACCCCACCCTATATTTGTCTTTTCTTGATCATCTTCCATCGAGCTTGTAAGGGGACTTGCCCCCTCATTTTAACAACTTAAAGTCTCTTTCACCCAAGGATGCTTTGTACGAATTATGGTTAAAATAGGCGTTGTGTTTCTTGAGTAAAAGTTGAAAATTAGAAAAGTTCACAAACAGACGGACGGACCGCTAGACAGACGGACGGACAACGGGTGATTAACAAAGCTCACGTAAGCTTTGAGCTCACGTGACCCAAAAATGTAACCATTTTAATTGAAAATAATATAAATTGAAGGTTTGTCGAGGGGAAAACCCGAATAAGCCCTTCTGGAACTTGATTTGATGTGAACGTACTCTAAGGTACAGGGTGTTTCATAATACATGTTACATTTTGAATGGCTTGTAAGACAAAAACAGAGAATAAATAAAGCAAAATTTTTTCCGCATTTTATTATACGTATCCATAAGATTTAATGTTAATAATGATGAACATGAGTGTTAAATCTTAAAGGACACATGGGTCATAAATGCAGCTTTATCATTTTTCTAAGTTGCGTCATTTTAAGGTAAAATTTTACATTAAATGTTCTATATGACCACCGTCTCTTTCAACAACAAGGGAAAGTAGCTTTCTGAATTTTTTTACACAGTTGCCACACATGTCTACTGAAACATTCCTCATTTGAAGTTTAATATTCCTTTTGAGTTCATCAAGTGTCTGTGGTTTCGGGCTGTATACCCTCTTTCAGAAATCCCCACAGGAAAAAGTCCAAAGGGTTCAGATCTGGTGAATGTGGAGGCCATACTCTTTCCGTTCTGTAGGATATCAGTCTGTCGGCAAATGTTTCCTCCAACCAGATTAAAACGGCAGATGAGGTGTGGGGTGTTGCTCCATCCTGTTGAAACCAAACGGTTTGTAGGTTGTTTTATTTTCTACGCAAGGCAGGCAGAAATTTAGTTCTTGATAAGCGGAGGTAGCGCTCTGAGTTAACTGTGGCCGTTTCACCATTTTCTTCAAAAAAGAAGGGTCCAACAACACCTTTACAACTTAATGCAGCCCATACTGTCACCTTTTGTGGATGAAGAGGTTTTTCCTGGTGAAAATCAGGCTTTTCTGTCGACCAGTATCGCACATTTTTCTTATTAACTTCACATTCTAAGTAAAAATGTGCCTCATCTGAAAACCAAATGTTCTGGAAAACGTCATTTCCATGCTGAAGCATCCATCTTGCGAATTCAAGTCGGTGTTGGACATCTGATTCCTTAAGGTGTTGCATTATTGAAAGCTTGTAAGGTGCAGAGCTGCCAACATTCTTAAATGACAAATAGTAAGGCGGGGTCTAGGGACCACCTAAGCCCCCTGACGCTGAAGATGTTTAGTAAATGAACATGCGGTCTGAGACATAGTTGTTTCCATTTTGTTTACTTTAAAACATTGACATGAATGTGATTGGCCTTCTAAAACCGAAACGATGATACAAGCAAACGTTGTAAGAATTATGAATACATGATAATGTAGATACTATGGACTGCCAGCTATGAAAATACAGGTATTATATACTTTGAAAGAGAAAAACTGAAATCGGAAGAATATAGACAGAAATCGTAAGGCGTATTTTAGACGCTGATTTCGTACGTCTTACGCCAAAATCGTAAGGGTTGGCAGCTCTGAAGGTGTTAACTGCATGTCATATTTCAATGTCCTGTACACACTGGAAACACTGGTGTTGTCAGCATAAATTTCCGTAAACATCTCTCTGACAGTCTTACACTTTTCTGAGGAGTTTCAGTAACTAAAGCTTCCACTTTACTGATGAAATCATCAGTTCTCGAAGTCTTCGGTCTTCCCGGATTGTCATGTCTTTTATCGCATACTGTCCCTGTCTTCTCAAACTTTGTTATTAACCTCCTGATCAACATTCTAGAGAGCTTCTTTTCCTTTGGTAAATTTTCCTTCATTAACTTCTGAATGATCTTTGGTGATTTGTATTGGTAATAGAGTTTTACAATTTCAGCTTTTTGTCTATCAGTTAAATCCATTTTAAAAGGTAATGAAATTGTGACATCAGAGTGCATGTCACAATTAACCTTAATGACGTCACAATTTCGAGAACTTTTTAAAAAGTATTAAAATTTAAGATTTGATGTTTAAGGGGGCCGACTATAGTTTTATTGTGTGAAAACTACAATAGCGAAACTCTTCATTTTTATACCATATCTAACTTAAGTTTGGGGGAAATCTACCGTCCAGGTATTTTTGAGGGACCGTCTCAAAATACAGGTACCTTTACTATAGGATTACATAGGGAAATGCCAATTTTTAGCACTATAAAGCAAATTATACAAATACTACAATAGACATTTTGTTCAAACTATGATATTTGATAAGTAATATTATATAATACAGTATATCTAAGAATCACAAAATTCTACCGTCTTGTTACCAGAGGGGGCATCTCAAAATGCAAAAAATTAGCAAATCTTACTATTTTTTTTAGAGAATTACAAAATATGACGTACACAATGGATTCACATGAAAACATAATAAAAATATTGGAGATATTCTCAAATTTCTATGTTTTAAATTTCAAAAGCGTATGTTTATTACTTTTTCTTAAATAATATTTTTATTACCCCTTTCTTTAAGAGCTACAGATTATCATAACGTCAAAAACACACTGTAACGACGTCAACCTACCTTTCATTTGCAAAATCGGTTAAAAATCAGTTATATCAAATTGTAATTACATTTTTATACCTATAATTTCTTAATTTTCTTTAATTTTAATAATTAAGCAAAAAAAGTTGCATTAAAACAGTAAATACGCTTCATTTTACTATGATGTGCGAAATATTGCGCAATGGAAACTATAGTTGATATATAAATTGATATATAATTTGTGTAAAAAGAATGATAAATATCAAAGATATTTAAATTTTAAAATGTAACATATATTATGAAACACCCTGTATCTCAGAAAAAGCGTCGTGACCAATCGGAGAACTTTAAAATGCCAGGTCATACATGTATAATAAACTTAATACGTACAAAATAAATTGCGCAAAATGAATCAAGACCCCCCCCCCCCCGATATGTTCTTCAACCTTCACAAAACAAGGTTTGGTGCGCAAAATCTTCCTTGGAAAAAGAGGAAAAGAAGTCCTTTCAAGTTCGATTTCTAAAAGGGGCTTTAAATTAAAAATATATATATATATAGGGATTTTTCTGAATAAGTCATTTTATTACATGTACATATCTCTCTATTTCAGATTTTACTATTGGAGGCGCTGAAATCCAATAGAACCGATTACGTCAAAGTACTTATGGATCACGGTGTATCTGTTAAAATGAAGGACATACCAGTTTTGTACAAATCGGTACGTTTGTGCTTCATTGCTTTATACGAATATCGGCGGGTGAAGTGTGTTATAGACAAGATAATCCTTAATTTCTTACTTCATTATATATAACGAGGACCACAGACACATGTGTTGTATATAGGGTGCTCCGTACATATTCTTACCTCAAATAGCAATGTAAACTAATTACAGATACTCTAACTTCTACCTCATATGTTGTCGAAAACATCTGACGTTTCAAGCCTTTTTTTCAAAATATTTCTAATTATCGATATTCTACAATCGTCAAATTTAATTATTATAAAATATATTTTGATACCGATATCAATAATTATCCGTCTAAAACAATTTTAAGGAATCCATTTTTTATCAAGTTATTTCTGCGTTAACATCGTACAAGTAAATCTAAAAATACTTCAATCTTAGTATTTCTATTCTCGACAGATGTAGGGTTAGGTTGTTGTACTTGTTGTACGTGTGTAGTTGTGTGTATTTAACTGATTTAGACTTCTTGTAATTTCAAGTTTCAAAGTATTTCTTCTCAGACTATAAGCTGCCCGAAGCATGGACCAAAAGTTAAAGACTGCAACTGCTTAGGAATGATGTGGCTAATGAAGGTAAGGCGAAACTAGAAAACGCCTTTGAGACATGTTATAAAGAAAAAAAATGTATTAATAAAAGATGAGGTTCTTTGAAAATTTCTTTCGGCGTTTTTTTTTTAAATTAAATAGCCTCAAACAGGACTGTATCGTCAGAGTTACATGTAATATTCATATCTTATAGTCAATAAACAAAGAAGAGGCCGAGAGATGTTTCAAAAAGAGCGATGTAAAGAAGGGTCTTCTAGCACCACAGACCATATGCAGAGAACTTCTCGATTACCAAAGTAGACATGATTTATTATTTTCTTCCATAACTATATTATACACGTTGATTAGTTCGTATATGTAGCGAAGTGATTAGAGCGTCTGGTTTAGAGTCGCAGAGAATGGAACTGATCCTTACGTAGCGAGAGATCGAATCCACTTTGGGGCGCGGAGAACTGTCTTTCAATAAACCTTTATAAACCGAGTTCCGTGTCGCTGTACAAAAATGAAGATGTTAGCGCCAAAGATCCCCTCCCAGCTAATTGACCCCGATTGCCGATTTTATGTTAAATTTTGTAGTCGTTCACAGGCAAGTAGCGGTCACTCCATATCAGTGACAAATTCTTAAGAAGGACGATATTATATACATGTATAACAATATTTCGGAGAATTGTCTCAAAATCTACATGTTTTGCAAATTAGACTTTTATATCAATACGTCGTACAGCAGACCAGTTTAATCTTACGATTTCGCCTTTTTATCTAAAATACGTCTCACGTTTTGCTTTTATGAAAATACGAAAATCGGATTCACACGTGTCTTGAATTTAGCAACTCGTTTTCGTTCTGATCAGTCTCAGTTTCACGCTTTTTAATCGCTAGAAAAGAGAAAGATTTCAAACACAGAAGTGATGTCGGGTAGCCAAGGCACTATAGTATAAAATGACAAAAACCGTGCTACTTAATTATGTTTTAGTAATCAGAAAAGCAGTTGTTCTCCATACATATACTAGTATGTAAAATCGATGGAAAATGAACTCTTCACGGAAAAATCTCATCACAATACTGAGAAACGACAAGGATATGGGTAAACGGGTCTGGTACAGATCACAAGAAATGCAAGACTTCCTCGTTTGTATGATTCATTTAATCTAAACTTAAAGACGTACAACACACTGGGGGAGATAACTCTTGCAATTTCAATTGAACGTTTGACGTGACGTCAAATTTAACGTCAAAAATAAAGCGTCAAATTGATGAGTAAAACGATCCTGATATATATCAATCATAAAAGAACTGAATCCATAAGTTTTTTTTTTAATTAATCCAATTAAACCCCGTAAAAAGACATAAAATACCACCCCTTAATGTTTATTTCATTTCATATACAATAAATTGTAGTCTTGATCAAAGCGCAGCAATTTTTTTTATTCTGAAAATTTCATTTTACATTGCCGAGATTCTCATTATGCACAATTGCCAATACTAGTATAACATTCCGATTAATGGTCTTTATTATAATTTGTGCATTTACGATATAAATATTGTTTTTTCTTCTTTAATTAAATAAAACAACAATAATCAAACAAAAAACTTTTTACAATGTAAAATCGACTTTGTTCTCAGACCCTTACTGATCAAAGAGAAACAACTCTAAAAATGTAGGAGATGTTTGTTTTCCCCCTTTATTCACGTTTTTTCCGCATACACAGAATCAAATACATTTATAGCAAGACCTGATAAATCCGAGAATCAAATACTATAGACATCATACACACAATGTAAGTATAGAATTGAAAAGAATCGTTAACTAGTACTGAAATTATCTGAATTTATGAATATCCTATTGCAGCAAATCGTTTGACTTTCTGTCGCTGTCAACGATGTCGGTTCGCATTTCCTCGAATCAAAACAAAACGTAGCCTATAGGATATTTATTTAAAAATATCTATGTGCGTTTTGATATAAATTGAAATAGATGAAGAGTTTAATGTTTGATATTTTGAAGTTAATGTGGACGAATACGGAATTTTCATTTTAACTTTAGAAGCAACAACATTGAAAGAATGCGTACAATTATCGTGAGGGGTGTACATGTATGCAAATGTCGATGTATACCCACGGCCACATACTGTCTCGTTTGAAATAATTACATGAAAGAATTCCGAAACTATATAATTATTCCATTTATATTACAGGAGAGATGAACATACACCATTTTTTGATAAATAAAATTAAAAGGAATAAAATTAAAAATCAACATATACAACATAACTTGAATTCGTATTCAGGTTTCATGTGATATGGAATGCATAACGCATAAATATATGGGCTAAACACTAAAATCCTTCAGTAATTTTTTCCTGATATCTGTATGTAAAACCAGTAGTCAATATTTATTCTGCATTCATGAATTTAAAAACTAATGTATACCTCCGGGATTCAAATGACGAAATACTACTATATTTGCACTGCATGTAAACGACGTTCCGTCAAACTCTAGTGGTCTGCGACGCAAAAAAGGAAGGGGTGGGCGTGGTAGGGGTATTCAAAAATTGCCTAAAAATCTACATCTAAATACTCTTTAAATGTGAGAACTTTTAAATATGTAAGTTAATATATTTTTGAAGCAAACACAATATTCCAATTTGATTTTTTTTTAAATGTGTATTTGTAGATTCATAGCAAAGTGATCGACCCCCGTCTGAAAGACGCGCGGGAACGTGATTTAATAAGAAAGGGGGATGGGGTAATTTTCCGCTTTTAAATCAAAACTGGTCGTACAAAAATTATATAAAAAATTATGAAGATTATTTTCACTACCAGCTACCTAAAAAAAGTTTTTTACCAAAATTAAACGACAGGTATTTTCACAAAAAAATTTTGAATTTGAAAAACACACAATTTTCAAGGCTTAGATAATTCATAGTTTTTCAGTTTAAGGTCTTTAAAAAAAATTAATGATATGTATATCAAAAAGATAACTATGTTTTTGTGTTAAATGGTTAAAGGAATAAGTCAATGAAATTTGACAGTTATATCTATCCTGGCTTTTTTGAAAATCAAGGTTTAAGTAGTTCATTGATTAAAAAATTTCTCTCCTTGTAAACAAGTAAAGGGGGGTAACTTTTGGAATTTCTTATCCAAAAACCACTCGAACGATTTTGTCCAAAATGTGCATACATGCAGTAGATTTAGTCATGTACTAAATATACAAAAATAACGAAAATTAAACGACAGGAATTTTTTGGGGTAGGTGTGTTGTACATCCTCAAAAGAGTCTATCCTGGAATTATTGTAAAGTTGAGTAAGTAATACAAATTAGTAAGATTAGTAAGTGTATTTCTTTTTTTCAGAAAAAGGATATACATGTCAGAAAATACTACCAGAGGAAAACAGTGAAGAAGTACATTTCCAAGAAAGTAATCCAGCCAATTTGGAAGATATACTTCTATGGGCATTGTATGCGAACAGGCCTGAAATCGCGGAAACAGTTTGGCTACGGGGGAAAAACCAACTCAGTATGTTCTGTTTTCTTTTAGAAATATTATTAATTGTTTAAAGTCTTAATTTTTCGCATTAAACTTTTATCAAAGGAAAATGGTTAAGAACTTAGAAAAAGAAGAAATTTTGACTTTCGATCATGACAAAGTATTTGAGCTTTTAAAATAAATTTTAGATGCTAACCTATTACATGTATTACTTAAAGTGCTAACCCCTATCGAATGAAAAGTCATGATTAATGTAAAAACACTTTTTTTCATATAATTTGATAAAACTTCGAGCCCCAAAATGTTAATGATTACTAAATGTCGTAACCCAACAAGTCCCACAAACGTTGACCCTGGCATAACTTTCAACTTATCTTCTGAAAAAGGTTTAAAGGTGTATTAGCAATGGATATTGCGCATGCCCAATTACTTTCGTATTTGTCTGCATATGTACCTGTTTCGGATTAAGCGGCTTTCAGAAGCCCTTGTTTAATAATGAATTTATTATATTAATTGGGAGATTAGATTGGTTATTCACGTCAAATCAATGGTCGGAAAAACTACATAAATCACTTTTTGTTAGCATGAACTTTATTTTCGCGTAATAACACGAGTCAGCCCGCTCGCGAAACTGTTATACTCGCGTATTTTTGTATTATAGAAGATTGTATACAACAAAATCCACAGCTCGCGAAAATGTTGTCTTGCTTATAAATTTCCGATGGCTTAGTCGCGAAAATATGGTTTCGCGAAAAAAAATGATATACAGTAAAACTCGGTTATAACGAAGTCAATGGTACCTCTGAAATTACTTCGCTACATGTGTATATCTGTATAAGGAATTCGTTAAATTTATGTAGCTTCGGATCCAATATAACTTCGCTATATCCTTGTATTCGCAATTTCCGTGTTCGTACTAAACGAGTTTTACTGTACAGTTATTATTATTCGATGAGAAGTTCAATCAAACTGTTCCAAATATTCATTGCAGTGACAGGCCTGGTTTGCTACGAAACATTACGGAAATTATCAGAGGAAGCTGATAATGTTAAAGAACAGAATCTTTCAAAAGACCTGATGGAACATGCACAGTAAGAAGAAACGTGTTATATTATACATGTATTCATTATCTTTGAAGAAAAAATGAAGCATTGTATTGCTTGATTACGAAGGGTTTCCCTTTTATTTATTATAAAATTGCCAAATATATGGAAAACTGTTATTAAGCCCAAAGTCCATTCACTAATATAAATGATAATACAAACATCAGTTCAATTACCTATCATTTAAGCACGTTCGAGTGTCTCTGATGGATCGCATTTTCTCTGTAGACTGTAAATCTGTAATTTTGATTTAAAAATCCACATGTACTCCTCTAAAACCATTGTGCCGGAAAAGACGAAAATCATATGTGCCAACTGTTTTGAGGTAGTTAAGATTTATTTGTTAATTTTTTTCTTACTTGCATGTGAAATTCCTACTAAGTAAAGATTGAGTAAAATCAGAGAGGTATGTTTTAATGTTCCTTTTAGAATGTTTTACGAAAGAGCATTAGAAATACTTGATTCCATGTTCGAAACCGACTCCAAAAAGACTTTAAAGATTCTGGAGGACCCTGTCACAATCTGGGGAATAACCAGCAATCCTTTGACCTTTGCGTACGAAAATTTCATGTACGAGTTCGTGGCAAAGCCGGCAAGTCAGAAGAATCTTAACAAAACTTGGTACAGCGGTCAAGCACCACACCTTATCCCTTGTATTAAGGTAACCAACCAATAATTTGTATAAAATCTTTAAAAAACCAATTTAGATAAATTTATCGAGTTATTGATTAAACATTTTTACAGTCCTTTTAACGAATAGTCAATGTTTTGCTCATGAACTTTAATTTCTTTATTGTCATTAATTTTTTCATCAATTTTTATAATTTTTTCAGTCTGTATTCAATAAACCAGGCAAAGTATTGACATCTCCACTGTCAAAATATGTCTTCAACTATGTAAGTATAATTACCATGTAAACGGTTCAGAATTGATACTCTGTAACAGTGTCCTTCCGATACATTTCTCATCAAAATTTGTGTTATCATGAGGATTTGCAGCATATGGCAACTTGAGGATTTGCAGCATATGGCAACTTGGGCTTTGTAAATATCTTCCCTAACTGTACCAATTCAAAAAAGGTGCATTTGAAGGAGCACTGACCGACTACATGGACGATTAACTTGACATAAACCCAGATATGCATGTTTAGTAGGGTTTTCTTCCTTGCAGTTTCTGTTCTTGACAATGCTGATCAGCTACAGCGCCTTTGTAACGACAAGTATTGGTACAACTTATTACGTCCGAGACATGGCAAGAATATTTGAATATTACGTCTATTTTTGGGGCTTTGGCGATTTGCTGGAGGAATTTTTCAGTTGCTTTGTAAGTAAAAGCAGTGATTCAAAGTCTCAAAATCTAAGGTCATGCATGCATGCAAAACAGATGTATAAAAAAAAAAATGATGGCACATCGTGTATTAATTTTTTTTACATCTACTGAAACTATACCTTAATTAAACCAAGGATTAAATTCCCAAGGATTAAAGTTTTCAAATATGTTGATGCCCCCCATGGTTCGGGGGTATATAGTCTTTGTCGTGTCCGTCCGTCTGTCTCTCTCTGTCTGTCTATTTGTCCGCAAAACTTTAACCTTGCCCATAACTCTTGATTTGGTGGTTCTATGACTTTCATTTTTCACAGTGTATTTCTTGTGATAAGACTTTTCTTTGGGTACCAACAGATTTTACCTTGACCCCGCAGATTTACTTACTTATAAGAAAAAGAATTTAACCTTGGTCATAACTTTTAAATAGTAAGCGCTTGGGGTCTCATGCTTTACATATCTTATCCTTGTATGAAGACCTTTCATTGGATACCAAGAACTTTGACATATACCTTGGAGTTAACCAACTTTAATTTTAAAAAACAAACCTTAACTATAATTTTTAAAAGGCTAAGGCTTTCATACTTTACAATGTACATATTTAATCTTTGTGACAAGACCTTTCATTGGATATCAAGAACTTTGACCTTGACCTTGGAGTTTGACCCACTTTTTTAATACTTTAACCTTGACCTTAACTTTTAAATTGTTAGGGCTAGGGCTTTCATACTTCACATATGTATTACTTGTGAAAAGACCTTTCTTAAGATATCAACAACTTTGAACCTTTGACCTATACCTTTCAAAAAGTTATCCTTGACCTTAACTTTTGAACAGATGGTGCAAGGGCTTTCATATTTCACAATCGTATTTCTTGTGAGAAGACCCCAGTTTGGGTATTGATATATTCTATTTTCATTTTAAATTTGTCGTTTTTGTTACACATAATGTAATATTTTTAATCTTCGCTATGTTGCTATACGGGGGCATCAGTGTTTCACAAACACATCGTGTTTTTTTTTTTTATTTCAGGGAATATTTCACGAGACTGCCATTGAAGGAAAATCCTACCGCAGTTACAGAACTATTGTAAAGCGTTACTTAAACAATTTTTGGAATCAAGTTGACATTCTGTCTTATGAATTGTTGATCACTGCCCTGTTTGTACGACACTTTTACCCATCCGAAACCTTCACAATATCTCGAAGGATGTTTTCATTATCGTTACTCATCATGTATCTCCGTTTTCTAGAAGCATTTCTCATGATTAGATCACTGGGCCCTACTCTGATCATGATAAAAGAAATGGTAAGCAAAAATTTTTGTACTCTTTAAAAATTTGAACACACAATCATTTACACATATAATTAGGAAAATCATTCTGCAAAGTAATGCATGACTTGGATTTCATCCCATTCAATCACGGGTTTTGTTTCTCGAAATGAATATCAACTGCATTGAATTCGTTAAATTATTTTTTTAGTTCTATACGAACTTTTACCCTCCAGATGAAAGTTAACGGAACGAAAATTAAATTGACCTACTAAAACAACCGTTAGGACTACACTGCAGATAAACGCTCTCATTAAAGTGCTCTTTTATCACTGAAATATTACAAACCATTTTAATAACTAGTGCTAATTGTAACGGGAACCGTTACAGATGTTCCCCAAACGCTCCCCAACTTCCTTTTGGTGCCATATTCCATTAAGTCTCATTAAATAAGACAACATCTGTGCATTTTTGACTTTAACAACGTTTTCCCAGAAGGATACCAATTATATTCTAAGTTTAACATTGCAGGCGTGCGCATGTGAATGCACGTGCGTAATGATCATATCGTCTTATCTACACTTTCTATTTATTTAAATATACTCTATATTAAAGCATTTAGTCCAAAAGTATTAAAAATCACCCATTCAATTTCACTCATTCCAAATGCACGCACGTACGTGCACGTGCATGATGACCATACCTTGTTGTAGGAGGCCCTTATATCTATCTATGTTGTAAATCCCATCCTGTTTGGTTGAAAACCAACGGAGTTATAGCCATTTCAAGTTTCAGCCAATCAGATTGCAGCACAAGTGCATCCGCGTGATTTCATGAATTTTTTTTCTAAATCATATTGTAGGATATCCTAATGCATGACTATGTTTTAAATTTCAAAGCATTTCGTCCAAAAACAAAGGAGATATAGCCATTTCAAGTTTCAGCCAATCAGATTGCAGCACACGTGCATGCGCGTGATTTCTTGAAATTTTTTGTATATCATATTGCAGGATATCCTAATGCATAACTATGTTTTAAATTTCAAAGCATTTCGTCAAAAAACAAAGGAGATATAGCCATTTAAAGTTTCAGCCAATCAGATTGCAGCGCACGTGCATGCGCGTGTTTTCGTGAAAATTGTTATATATCATACTGTAGTATATCTTAATGCATGACTATGTTTAAAATTTCAAAGCATTTCCGCAAAAAACAAAAAAGATATTGAGATTTTTGTTTCAGCCAATCAGAAGGCAGCGCACGTGCATGCGCGTGAGTTCGTGATTAATTGACCATGTCATATTATCTACACCACTAATATATCCTTATATAATGAGTTTTATAGTATTTCATCGAAAAAATGTAAAAGTTATAGCTATATTAGGTATATCAGTCATTTCACTCATTTCACGCGCACGCACGTGCATGCGTATGCGCGCAAAATGACCTTCGTTGTGCACACCTACACTACACACCTATTAACCCTAAAAAGGTTTTAACTCAGTTGGGTGAACAGTTTCTGAGAACACTTCCGGACAAAAAAGTACCGGAGAACAAATAAGAAAAAAAAGAATAATAATAATAACTAGAAACTCTTGTTGCTACAGCAACAAAGAAGGTCTTCCGTTCTCCTCTATTAATCTGTATGCAGGATGTTTTTTTCTATTTTAAGAAAGACAGATATATAATAAAGAAATAATAGAAAAAATGCAAAAAATAAAAAAAAACTAGTAAACTAATTGTTCAGTGAACAATTATCGGCCTTTCCACCTTTTTAAACATTTCAATATCATTTGGGCTGAAGAAAATAGGAAAAAAGCAAGAAAATAATAAAAAAAAACAAAACAGCAAAATTCTCATTTCTCTACTAGGATTTTATTTTATTTTTTTTTTTTTTTTTTTTTTTTTTTATTTATTTACAGATTCTAATACATACTTATACAATACAAATATACATTTTCTGTAAATTTTTTATAAGGGAGAGAGAGAGAGAGAGAGAGAGAGAGAGAGAGAGAGAGAGAGAGAGAGAGAGTAGAGCAAGAGAGAGAGGAGGGCGAGAAGGGATAGTAAGGAAAAAATTACAAAAACAGATTCTTCCAGGGTTTCCAGGCTTCGTCAAAAGTCAACTGATTATTGTTTTTATATGCAATATACTTGTTTATTTCATACATATATTTGATGGAGGATATCAGTTCATTCAAGGAGAGGTATTTACCACTACATCTCATTCTGTAGATAAAATATTTAATCTGAAGAGCAATGAGATATTTTATTTTGTCTAATTTTGCAAAAGATCCCAATATGAATTCTTTTTTCAAATATACAACATTAATATGAATCTTTCTAAAACAATAACTATCAAAACTATTCAATAAGTCTTGTACTACTTCACATTCCCAGAAGATGTGTTCAATAGTTTCTGTCTCAGTTTCACAAAAAGAACACTTGTATGAATCTATTTTCTTAATTTTATGTAAAAAGGAATTTGTTGCTAATATTTTATGATTAATGCGGAACTGAAACCACTGAAGTTTTGTATCTTTTGTGAGCTTAAAAGGAAATGAAAAAACTTTTTCCCATTCACTATCATTCAAGTTAAAAATTCTATTCCAGCTAGTCTGACCTAAAGGCTTGATATCATTGCTTTTCAAAATTTCATATAAATTTCTTGATTTCTTCGCATTTAATAAACGGAATGTTTTTTGTGTAATATATGGCATATACACAGTTGGCATAGAAATTATATTTTTGGTTTTCATCCATTCTCTGATAGCAGCTATAAGTCCATTGTACTCAAGAAAGTTTGTATGGATTCCATATTTCAATTTAAACATATTAATGTCCATAAAGGAACCGTCCTCTCTTAAGAGATCATTTACGAAAAATACATTATTTTCAAACCATTTCTTATAAAAAATTGTTTTCTTGCCAATCAGTATATTTTTATTAAAAAATAGTGGTTCCATAGAGGCACTTGCTTCTGGTTCTGGTAATTTTTTAGAAAAAAATAGCCAGGCTTCTAAAACATTTTTCCAAAACATATTTTTTACATCTTTAATTTTCTTGAGAATGTATTCTTCTCCACAAAAAACTGTTTTTTTTAAATCTAAAGTTAGATATGAATATTTACCTTGCAGTATGACATTTTTCATCCATACAAGTTTCAGAGACATAATAAACTCTTTAATACTAATCATCTTGAAACCGCCATCTTTAAGATCTACTAAAATCTACTAGGATTTTAGATCGGGCTCGCAGTTGGTATAATTTTACCCTAAACAGACTTCCTGGATTGTTTGTAGTCGACTCGGGGATAACCACGATTTCATTGATCACGCAAAGAGAGCACGTTAAAAATATTGTAACACGCTCCTATGTGTACATATGAGCTTGAATTAGATTGTTTTCAAGTTAAGATGTAAGGGGTAGGGTCTGATTAAAATTATGATATACCTATTAATATGAATAACATGCATTTGATCTGCGCATCAAGACAGAAGCGTAAGTGAAAACGTTGTGAAATGTCCCATGTGTACCTGCATCATATGTGCATTATACATGTATTAAAGAGATGTTTGAAAAATATCCGATTTGAGTTGTTTTATGTTTGAAATGAATGGCGATAAATTATTTAAGAGCATGTGAGAAACATGAGCGAGAGATGCAAGGCAGTTTGTAATTATAGAAAAGGAAAACGGAGAATCGGATTCGGATTTTGAGGACAGGAAATCATGCGACCGGAAGTGAATTTTACTGAGATATTATACATTACTGTAGACGTTTGCAGTCTGCATAACATATCTAAAGGTCATTACAAATACTTTATCTATAAAAGGTATTTATGGGAAAGAAAAATACTCAAATCATGTAGTTTTTCTCTTATAACCGGAAGCTGTCGTTGTTGTTTCCGGTAAGACTGATATATTTTGAAACTACAAATTAAATGCTATAATGTGATGCAAAAAAAGTTTCGTTAAAGAAAAGTTGAAATTTTTGATTTCTTAGATCACTTCCTGTGACGACCGGAAGTGACGGCTGACGGTCTTATTCCAACTGAATTTGCCTACTTATCATGATCTACCACTTATTTAAGTTTGGTGTCTTAATCTCTAACCGTTTACGAGATCTAGCTATGATAACTTCTCATTTTGAGGACAGGAAATCACGCGACCGGAAGTGAATTTTACAAAGATATTTGACGCTACTGTAGTCATTTTCAGTTTGAATAACATATTTAAAAATCATAACAAATACTTTATCTATAAAAAATATTTATGGGAAAGAAAAATACTGAAAATATGCAGTTTTTCTCTCATAACCGGAAGTTGTCGTTTTTGTTTCCGGTGGGACTGATATATTTCGAAACTACAAATAAGATGCTATAATGTGATGCAAAAAAAGTTTCATTAAAGAAAAGTTGAAATTTTCGATTTCTTTGATCACTTCCTGTGACGACCGGAAGCGACGGCGGACGATCTTAACCCAAATGGACATGCCTACTAATCATGATCTATTACTCCTATAAGTTTGGTGTCTTCATCTCTAACCGTTTCTGAGATATGACCAGGACAAAATCTTTTTGAAAAAAGCGGAAACTGGACATATCTGACGACCGGAAGTGCATTAAAACAAAATGAAAGTTACATTTTAAAGATATTTTGACTCTCTATCATCCCTGAAAATTTCATGAGAATCTATCCAGTCATCTATGAGAAATTGTCAAAAATAGAAAAGGGAAAAAAAAAATAAGAAAAAGAAAAAGAAACAGTAGAATCACTATAAGGTCTTCCGTCTGAAACGGAAGACCTTAATAACTAGAAACTCTTGTTGCTACAGCAACAAATAAGGTCTTCCGTTCTCCTCTTTTATCTGTAAGAAGAATTTTTTTGTATTTAAAAAAAAACAAAATGCAAAAAAAAAAAAAAAAAAAATATCAATTCCTCCATCTGGTCTCGATCCCAAAACCATTAGTATGAAAGTCGGACACGCTAACCACTGAGCCACCAACTTCCACAACATTTCAGGTATTCTGTAAGCTTATTATTTTAAGGTTGAAGGAAATAGTTTCGAAGTGAAAGAAATAGTTTCGTAGTAAAGTACCGGTCAAATTTCTTAAAAAACTAAGATATTCCCTGTTTGATGTGATATTGTATGTAGGAAAATGATTAGAATAATTATGGGACACATTTGTAGTGAAGCAATGGCACTTAGCATAAACAGAGTTGTAAAGCGAAACTGATACACGTGGTCAGTTACAGAGGAAATTCAAAATCCCAGAAAAACAGTGAGTCATGGGCATTTTTTCAAAAGCATATCGTATCAAGCGGGGTAACTGCAATTGACCTATCTCAATTGCGCGGAAATTTAATTGATATGAAAAATCGTCATTTCCGAGTTTCAGCCGATTCATATTTAAATCTAAATAAAATTAAAATAAATTCCATACACCTAAGAAAGCAAGAATACTTGGTATTAAAATGTCGTAATGGAGCAGGAGAATCGAATGATATTAACAATAATTGCAGAAATAGCCAATACGAGTTTTAATTAATTTTTATGCCAAGCAATAACTTAATTTCAGACAGAAAAAAAATGCAGATTTTGCCGATATTCACTAGAATTTCAAAATACTTCAGAGACTCACCTTAAAACTCTCAGGACACCTTCTTTCAGGTCTCTTCTTTCTTTTATTACAAATCTTATGCCGATATTTCGTTTCGTTTGACTTGTAGACATTTTCTCTAAGTTGGTGTTGATTGTTTTGGTTTTTTTTTTAGAGAAAGGAGGGGATATTTTATAAGCATTTGTTAGAGTAAGAGTTGCAAATACCTCCACGACCGTCAGCTTGATTGTGACCTTTGGGTCAATGGGGCCAAAGAACAAGGTCATTTATCAAGGTCAAAGGTCAAGGTCATCAGAGAGAGAGAGAGAGAGAGAGAGAGAGAGAGAGAGAGAGAGAGAGAGAGAGAGAGAGGTAAATTTGAGATAAACACTTGAAGCTGAATCTAGATAAAGGTAATGAATATTCCTTAATTACTTTTTGAGTAAGGGTCAAAGGTCTCATTTTGAGGTTTCTCTATACATTTGCAGTCTGAATAACATGTCCCAAAATCATTTCAAATACTCTTTTTACAAAAGATATTTATGGGATAGAAAGAAACTCAATTTATGCAGTTTTTCTCTCATAACCGGAAGTCGTCGTTTTTGTTTCCAATGGGACTGACATATTTCGAAACTACTTGTAAGATGCTATAAGGTAATACTTAGAAAAAATCCTTAAAGAAAAGTTTAAATTTTTTATTTATTTGATCACTTCCTGTGACAACCGGAAGTGACGGCGGACAATCTTAAACTCAAAGGATTTGTCTACTCGTCAAGTTCTACCATCCCTATTAGTTTGGTGTCTTAATCTCTTACCGTTAACGAGATCTAGCAATGATAACTTCTGATTTTGAGGACATGAAGTCACGCGACCGGAAGTGAATTTTACTGAGATATTAGACATTACTGTAGACATTTGCAGTCTGAATAACATATCCAAAAATCATTACAAATACTTTAACTATAAGAAATATTTATGGGAAAGAAAAATACTCAAATTATGTAGTTTTTCTCTTATAACCGGAAGTTGTCGTTTCAGTTTCCGGTGGGACTGATATATTTCAAAAATACAAATAAGATGTTATAATGTGATGCAAAATATGTTTCATGAAAGAAAAGTTAAAAATTTAGATTTTTTGGATCACTTCCTGTGACGACCGGAAGTGACTGCTGACAATCTTATCCCAAATGATTTTGCGTACTTTTCATGATCTACCATTTATATAAGTTTGGTGTCTTAATCTCTTACCGTTTACGAGATCTAGCTATGATAACTTTTCATTTTGAGGACAGGAAATCACGCGACCGGAAGTGAATTTTACAAAGATATTTGACGTTACTGTAGTCATTTGCAGTCTGAATAACATATCCAAAAATCATTACAAATACTTTATCTATAAAAAATATTTATGGGAAAGAAAAATACTGAAAATATGCAGTTTTTCTCTCATAACCGGAAGTTGTCGTTTTTGTTTCCGGTGAGACTGATATATTTCGAAACTACAAACAAGATGCTATAATGTGATGCAAAAAAGTTTCAAAAAATAAAAAGTTGAAATTTTCGATTTTTTTGATCACTTCCTGTGACGACCGGAAGTGACGGCGCACGATGTTAACCCGATTGGTTTTGCCTACTTATCAAGATCTATTACTCATATAAGTTTGGTGTCTTCATCTTTTACCGTTTCTGAGATATGACTCGGACAAAACTTTTTTGAAAAAAGCGGAAATCGGACATAACTGACGACCGGAAGTGAATTTTGAAAAAATGAAAAAAACGCCTGAGCGTATTTTCATTCTCTATCATCCCTGAAAATTTCAGGAAAATCCGTCCAGCCATCTCTGAGAAATCCGATTTACAAGAAAAGGGGAAAAAAAAAATAATAAAAAGAAACAGTAGAATCACTATAAGGTCTTCCGTCTGAAACGGAAGACCTTAATAATAATAATAATAAGAAACCGAGTAAAATCAATATGTTCCCAAACTCCGTTTGGGGAACATAACTAGTAAGCTAATTGAATGGTAAAGGTTTTCTGAATTTTTTTTACTCCTTCAGCTTAAGGACCTATTTGGATTTATCATCCTGCTTTTTATTGTGATTCTTGGTGTTGGGTTTTACTACCACGCCAACCTTTGGCCGGACCATGTGTATTTCTGGGAAGGAAGGTGGACCGACTGGAGGATTTGGAAGGTCATCTACTATCCTTATTGGCAGCTCTACGGAGAAACCTTCAACGATTTCCTAGAAGGTAAGTTTAAGGACAGATGATGCAAACACACTTTTTGTCAAAAATATATAAATAATAATTTGAGTTACGTTTTAATGAGTAAAATGAATAACTTTCACTGCGTAGTTTTTAAAGTTTAAATTAAATTTTCACAAAAAATGGGATTTGAAATGTAAAAAAATTGTATAGATAGATAAGGATAGTTTCAGAGGGGCAGAATTTTGAACATCACAGAAAGCTTACAAATTCTTTATAATCTAGAAATTTTCTTTTTGCATCATTTTCAATGAAATTAGGCCAAATATAGAGCGATCCAATCATCCATTTTTTGTTTGTATCATCTGTCCTTGACAAATTCATAGTGGAAAATCACAGTAATAATGTACGATCCTCGTCTATTCGTCGCCGTAAATCACGGCCAAAATGTATTATACATTGTATGTAGATTCTTACTATGTACACTGTATTTGAAAGAAGAAAAATGAGTACAATTCCTTCTAGTCTGTAACTTGAATTTACATCTTATGCTCTTCTGGTTGAAGAATAGTAGATACAAGTCTGTTGTCATCTTTAACTCTTTCTTGATTCAACACCTTCGTTTTAACAAATAATCAGCTTCACCTTTGGCAGTATTTTTAGGCGCTGTGAATTTAAAACAAAAATGTTTGTCATGGGACATACGGACGTGATCAATTTATATTGGTATACACAAAGGGATATTTTATTGATAAGGTTAACATCTACTTATTTTGTGAAGTGATGCTTTTTATGTCAATCTTTTATTTTATTTTTTCGTAAAACACTTTATTTCTGTGAATTCTTAGCTCTTCCAAAGATGAAATTGCAATTCAGTGAAAAAGAAAGCACCGTAAGGTTTGAAACGGTGCTAATCGCCAGAGTTCCGCAATTCAGTCATCTTTCTGAAATAATTCTATGAAAATCATCCTGTATTTAGAACTTACAGTGTACCATTTAATATATATATACATTTTCTTCCAATGCAGGAAATTCCGGACCCTGTGCCGAGGACTGTACAATAACTAACTTTACGGTGTCTTCCCACGGCTCCGGAGACAGATGTCCACAGGAGGACTGGACAGTGGGTGCCGTGTCTGCTCTGTACATGCTCTTCTCAAACCTGCTGCTTGTTAATCTGGTCATTGCTATGTTCAGGTAATGATCTGCTGCTTTGTACAGGCCATCATTAAAAAAATGCTTGATATCCCTGAACCGACCGACTGACACAAACGGCCCGCTCAAAACTCAGCCCTCAGGACAAACATATGCTATGCAATCCAGGAAGTAAATTTTGGAAACTCATTAAGGTCAAGATGTAGTAAATGAATTTAGACTAGTTTTGTGCTAGATCCAATATGACGTCATAATTACTTTCAACATTTTTTTCCGTACTTAACGGCTCTTATAGAATTATATAGAAAATAAATTATTTTCATGGAATAGAATTTGAATCACATGAAAAGTAGTCCCGTTACATATATTAGATTTGACATAATTTTAAAGAATAGGCTAAGAACATACAAATTATCGTTTTCTGAAAGATTGTATGCAATTTGGATACACTTTGTCTGATATGGAAAATAAATCCCATATTTACGACAAGTTTTTTTTTTAATTTTTTTTTCAATTCAGTTTAAAATATGATTTTTACTTCTGTTTACTTACAAATTATGCTCCGAAAGTAAAATAATCATCAAAAGAATTTATTTCTTAAATTTAATAAATTGTAAACACCGTTCAGTTACTAGATCTTGACCTAAATGTAGAAATTTTGTGGGGGCAATTTTCATACCTCCCTACCGGTGTTCAAGGTTGATGTTCAAGGTTCTAAGTTTTTCCATCATACCTAAGTTCCCAAAACTTTGGCATATAAATAGGGCTTATGATTTAAGCAGTGAGCCCCTTTAGCTCACCATGACAGACTAGAGGCCCTTGTTTTTCAAGGTATCATTAGAAAAACAGATGGTTTACACTTATGTATGTATAACATAAAATACACACCCTTGGATTTTCGCCGAACCGTGAATAACAAGAAATGTTTCTAAAACACGTATGCCCCCCTCCCCCAGATAATTAGAATTTTTCTACCTCAAAGGGTGAAACTCTATCCAAAATGGCTCGATCGTACCCAAAACAGACCTTAACCTAGATATTCTTAAAACTTTATACCAAATTTTATTTCAATGTGAAAAGAAAACAAACGGAAACTGCAAATAATTGGATTTTTTTAAGTCCAAGTACATGTATCAAAACTCTGTCCATTCACTTCATATAGAACATGTAGAATGCGTCTGGAAATTATCATTCCATGTTTACAGTATTTATAAAAAGTAAATTTATTTCGATTTATCTTAAAAGCAATAGTAAACAAAAATACTAACAACACTTGTTTTTTGCAGCTCTACCTACGAACGAGTGACGGCTAATGCTGAGAATCTATGGCGATTTGAACGCTACACCGTGATCATGAACTACAAATACAGAGTCCCCTCTCCGGTAAATTTGGTGTACACGGTGTACAGGATATACCGATGTATCAAGAGTGGATCCTGTAGGAAGTATCGTTTGTGCTGTTGTTGTGAGTACGGGGGACCTAACAAAAACAGTGAGTGAATCACCACTAATTTTTTTATTAAAGAAAAGGTTAATGATAATGTACGATTGATTGATTGTTTGTTGTTTGAAACCCCTCTTGATAACTGTTCACTCTTATGGAGACGCTACCTCTTGCCGGTGGAGAACTGAAACTTCTGTCTAATACTGGGCACTAACGGCCAATGAGCAGTTAGGGAACTTTTTTTGGCCGGCATTTTCAGCTACACGGGACCTCGGTTTATACAGTCTCATCCGAAGGGTCCGTCTCAAAGTTCTTCAGTGAGGATAATGTACAGTCGTGTGGCCAGTTGCGAATTTTGACCAGTTCCGAATAATTATTTATTTAAGAGCTGATAATTAATACATTCAAAGGTGTAAAAATAAATTGATACCTATGGTAAGAAGGCTTATTTATGAGTGTTCGAATTATGCAAAGTTTTGATTCTTTGCCGTCAGTTCGGTTTCGTTATCGTACTTGAAGGAGTCGACATAATTTTACAATGCAACAAATCTGAATCACCGCGACGCGTTAGTCTGCAGAAAGACCTCTGTAGAGACACCAATTTTTCACATAAAACACCATTCCAGGTATCAAAAGTAAGTTTGATATGTACTCTATCAAATAATATTAAAAACATATCTTAAATGAATGTTTAGAACACTGGAAAAAATCGAAATATTTTCGTGTTGTCATTTTACTTCTTCCGAATACCCATTTTGAACACTTATAAATTTATTCTTCATTGTTTTCTTCATTGTAACGTGACTTATTATACCCCCGCTTGAAAAGCAGGGGGAAGGGGCATATCGGGATGGGAAGTTTGTCCATTCATCCGTCTGTATGTCCGTCCGTCTGTCTGTACGTCCGTCCGTCTGATACACTTTGGAGTACCCATTTCTTATCCACAACTCCTCTTCTACCACTGAATGAAATTTAATGACGCTTCACAGAATTTAATTAGACTTTCACTGAATCTTTGTTAAATAGTACCAAAGTACACTTTCTATTTTATTATTTTGATCTGGAACATAATTTGAGCTCCCTTAGCATTACATGGATGCTGCCATTCTTTCTAATATTGAAGGGTATATCCTCACTTATCCGCAATTCCTCTATTTCTACTGTATAAGATTTTATGATGTTTTCATAGATTCTTTATTACATTGTGCCATTGTACATGTGACCTCTTATTTTACTTTTTGATCTGACACTTATTTCGGGTCTCCTAGAGCAAAACATGGACTTTGTCATAATAATCATATAGGAGGCGTGGGTATCATTAAAGTGAGCTCAGTGCTCAAAGTACCACTAGTTTCTCTCTACCCTTTGAAATACAAATAACTTCTTGGTAAGCAATTAATTTAACCTTTCTTAGGCATGCCAATGGATAATGTGTGGGATGTATATTCTTTAATTTAAGGTTGATTTGAACGGGTACCGCCAGGGTATTCGGAACTCGTCGGCTTATTCGTAATTGGTAATATGGACACCTATCTTAACTTGCGAAATATTTTTTTGGGTGGGGGAGAAGGCTGAACTTTTATGAAACAATATTTAATTCCACAAGTCATTGAACTACCTTGACAAAAACCTGAAATGTTGAAAATATGCCTGGTATATTTATAGCACCGCCGAATCCGTTTCTTATTCGTAACTGGTCAAATAACTGTGAGAAATTTAATATGAAATTCATACACTGTGGTAATGTTATTAATGGGGCTTTGAAACGAGTTTCTAAATGCTACGTATACGTAAATAAGGTCCTAAATGAGAAAAACTATTATGAAAATATTATCTTAATTTATAACAAGATGCCTACGGGCCTTATAGGTCATCTGAGTATTATGTAACAACTTGCCAATATTACAAATGAATTTGGTTCATGTTTTAAACCAAAACCCAACAAATTCACAATTTTGAAGGAGGCACCTGCATTGTTTATCATAATTATACACTTAGCATGCTTACTTTGGTTACTAAGTACCTAGAGGTAGATAGATAACAGTAACAAAGAGAATAAACATTTCCACTTTATAACCACCAGCTGTGCACCCTAACCCATAGGAACCACTGACCCTGGTACCACATATTCCAAAATTTGGAAATTTATCATAAATTTTATCTCATTATAAATGGATGATTTCTACCGAAGATCAGATTTCATAGCATTAATTTATTTTCAGACTATGTACCCTTCCCCTACCCCGGTACCCCTGAACTTTGGGCCCTGAAATTAACCATTTTTAAGAGGCTCATTTCTTCATCATAAATATGTACTAAGATCATTGGCATAATACCCAGGAGCAAGGAAAATAATTCCTAAGAATTCATGCATTTTCACTATATAATCAATCATTTGAGCTCCACCCTAACACAAGAACCCCTGATCCAGGGGCCCTGAAATTCACAAATTGGGAAGAAACATCCTTCTTCATCATTACTATGTACATATTTCATGGATTTTATATCCAGGAGCAGAAGAGAATTTTTTAAAAATAATTTATGCATTTTCACTGTATAATCAATAGAACCCCATCCTACATGTAACACCAGAACATCTAACCTTGAGGCCATGTAATTCACAATTTTGGAAGAGGCAGCCTTATTCAACATAAACTATTTACTTGGTTAGTTTATTTAATACTGAGGAGCAGAGAAGAAGATTGTTACAAAATTAATGTTTTTCAATATATAATCAGTAGAGCCCTGGCTTAATACCAGAACACCTGGGGCTGTAAAATTCCTAATTCTAGATTAATATAACAATGTACTTGGTTAGTTTGTTTAATACCCATGAGCACAGAACAAAATTTTCAAAGACTTTAGGCATTTTCACTATAGAATCAATAGAACCCCTCCCTAACACCAGACCCTCTGAACCTTTGGTAATGAAATTCACAATTTTGAAAGAGGCAGCCTTATTTAATATAGCTTCGTTGCACTTCGTTAGTTTATTAAATGTCAACGAGCAGAGAAGAAGCTTTTCAAAGAAACAATGCATTTTCTCTAAAAAAAAATCTATTCAGCCCCGCTCTAGCACTATAACCCCTGAGCTTGGGGCAATGAATTTCACAATTTTGGTAGAGCTAGGACTCAAAACTGTTTACAATCATGCCAACAGTTTGACTGCTTGATGTGCAGGAGTAAAGAAGAAAATTTCTAAATATTGCAGAAATTGTAGTGGTTTGACCCCACCCCTCAGGCCCCAGGGGGGACAGGTTTCATGAATTTCACATTTTCCCCCTTCATCGATTGATGTTATATACCAAAATTGGTTGAAATTGGCTCAGAGATTCTAGGGAATAAGCTGAAATTGTTCAAAAGTTTACGACCGATTGACGACGAACGGCGTACGACGGACGAAAACTAGTATATAAATACAAAGAAAATAATGACGTTGGACTCTTTCGCTAATTATGTTGCAGGAGTGTCCCATTAATAGAAAGATTTACTTAATACTTAGAAATAATATTTTCATTAAATTTATTCTGGTTGTTGACTTGTTGGTAATGCGTATTGATTTTCACAAACATATGTTTTGTGTAAAAGGTATCCTTTTTGTTCTTGAATAATATTAGGACACCGGTATGAAAAAAGAAATTAATTATTATAAACGATTGCCTTTTTAGAGAAAAAAGAGAAGAAAATAAAGAAACAGGAGCTTCGACAAAAATTTCAGAGAATAATGGCGCATAGAGTGTGTGATCAACTTAACTTGACGAACTAAAAACAAATCAAACATCAGCTGTCAAATTTTTCATGTCATTGTAAACTTTATTGAGATTCATTCTCACTATAGTTTTTGGTATATAAATATGTCTGAAAATGCTGCGATATTTTGATGTACAAACATTTTATGTAATTCATACCTTATGCTTGTATATTTATAGTGACTGCAGTGTTTTACTTTGTAAATCATAGTATTATGTTTTTCATCTTTTAAAACTATAATATTAGTAGACGAAGAGAAATAATTGATAAACAAAAAAAGTAAATAAAGTTTTTAAGAATTTGAATGTGACATTTTTTTAAAAACAGATTTATATACATACTACGTAATTAATGTATGATCTAAGCGAAGCGACCTCAATAGACTAACGTGTTAGAACAGAGTAAATTCGGAATGAAATCTTCACATCCGCTGAAAAATGCTGCATGTGATTGTAAACTTCTTGAATTTCATTTACACTGTGGTTTTTGTTTATAAACATTTCTGGCAATGTTGTGATGTTTGATAAAATAAATAATTTTTTTTTATCCATTCCTTTTACATATAGAGCTACTACAGTGTTTTACGTTGTTTATTGAGGTATTTTGTTTTTACAGAATGTTGTACTTCAAGAAAATTTAATTTGACATAGTTTAAAAAGAATAATAGCGAGCGTCGCTCGCGAAGCGACCTCAATAGACTAACGTGTTAGAACAGAGTAAATTCGGAATGAAATCTTCACATACGTCAGGCATATTTCTCTGTGAAACATTCTTAGAATTCATTTACTCCCCAGTGTCCTTTGCCCGAATAAATAAATAAATAAATAATAACGTAAAGCATAAAAGGCTTTCAGTTTGTAGAAGTCTTTCAAAGAAACAAAAAAAAACTCTGCAATGTTTTTAAACCAGACGCTGTCTCCGTAAGCTCTGACGAGCTCCGTGACGTCAAAGCTAGTCGAGATGTCTCGTGCGGTTTGCTGTTTGAAGTGGCTGATCAAGTTTTCAAGTGTTTCTGATAGTACAACTGCGCTCGCTCAAACGGTCACACCGAAAATATATTAAAATATGTATTGTGATCTAGGGCACGTTATTAGACAACAGCAGTAAAAATTTTTACACTCAGTCTGTATTAATCGGATAACTATGCCTCAAAATCGGATAGAGCGAGCAATTTGATAATTATATATGCAAGATTTTTCTTTTTTTTTCTTATTTTAAAATAACTACCTGAGAGCATACTAAAATCTTTATAAAACCGTTCGTATGCTTTATTTTCAAGATTTTGCCAAATGGAAATTAAAAAGAAACACACGATATGAATGTTTTACTAATCAAATATAAACCGGAAATGCTTGTCATGTACATTTGTCAATGTCAATACATTTCTTTCATTAACTTCTAGGACTTGACGTCCTTTTCTTCATAACTATATCTCCTTGGTATTAAAGTCGTGCACTTTTACCTTTTAAAAGTACCGAGTATCCCTGGTGTCCTTATATTAATAGCTAAATCAGGTACAAGAAAGAAATATTTTTAGAACTATCTGAAAATATGACTTAAGTTTCCAAATCTTCAACCGTTGTGTATGACTCATGACCGAGAAGCAATAAGGGAACTATCTGATTCTATAAGGGGAGGGGGGCCGGCAGATTTTGGAAATAAATCATCAAAATATTGTATCCTTGTATGACATGATAATCTATAACCTATACTTTCCTAGTTTTTGGCGATTCCTCTTTTCGGGGAGTGGGAGTAGGACTTGTCTTGTCAAACTTCAAAGTTAATACATTGTAACCTATCTGTTATATTTCTGGAAATAAATACATACGTCGTATAAGATCCATTGCAGATTACGTATATGATGTTATGGGATTAAAGGCAATATAAAGGACTAGTTTAATAAAAAGTTCCTGAAAGCATGAGGTAGGTAAACCATCGACTTTAAGAAAGGTACTGTCTACGGACTGAGTGTCTAACTTAATATTTATATTCTTAGACATTAAATTATTATGAAGGCTGATCTTAATGACAAAAAAAAGAAAGAAACAATTTAACATGAAACTCTACCAAAAATTATCCATGATAATAATAAGATACAACTCTAAGTAGAGGTGCTTCCGGGCTACATTGCTATGTTCATCTAAGGTCAAGACCTTGTCCCTATTAACTGAGGCATTGGTACTCATCAATTGCTCTAGATAGAAGGTCATGACCTCGTACCTTTAGACCGAGGCACAAGTACTTTTCAATCGAACATAGTACATTCTACCCAAAGCTTCAGTGTCCTTTTTCTTTTGCTTCTTTCTCTGGTATTGCCTTCCCCCACCACAGTCGTTTCTTCAATTTCGGCGGTAAATAAACATAAGGGTCTAAAACTTTTGGGTCAGTAAGTTAAATCATAACCAGCAGACAATCCATCTGTTCTGCCTGATGGGCATTAGCGATGTATCGTCTGGTCCGTGGCACCCTCTACTATTGTTATTATGATTTAAATTTAAGACACGTCGTTTAGGTTGACCTATTCAAAGGTTATAGCCTTAGAGTAGAAAAATAAATAAAATTGGCAGTAAAAAGGAAATTGCTATAGTTTCTTTTGAAAACATGTCCTTTGAAAAATATGTTTGCAGACTCTTCTGAAAGACTTTCATGAATTTCAAAAAAAGATGGCTGAAGGGGGGAAGGGTGAAATAAAAATATATCTATCATAATGTACAGCGAAAAGTAGAGATCACTTGCTCAGTAATAATGTGCAATTAATGTCATGCACTTGTTACTCAGTAACTTAACATACTGGGCATTTCTTAAGTATGGTCAAGTAAACATATACCATGGGCCATTAAACACATACAAATATTAAGAACTCAAGTGAAATACGTCTCTAAATACACGGAAACAATACATTCGTTACTAAGGCTGGGTTAATACACCAGAAGTAAGGCAGATGTAAACCATTTGAACTTAAAAGGCGTGTATTCTCAATTACTTGGATTTATTGCACATTGTATTCAGTTAATAAATGATCACTGAAACTTATATTAAATCATATGTTTGTCAATTTTTTGCAGCATGTAGTTGTCGCGATGTGTGATACCTACGTAACAACATTATATAACTGAACTCAGATATTTTATTCATGCAAATGAATTTTAATTTTTACTCAAAACAGACAGTAGGCAACTTATAGACCTTTTAAAACGGATTTGATATTTGATTTCATCGAATTAATTTCAAACAAGGAATATGCATTTAAAAATACTCAATTGGTTGTATTTTCGAAATTAAATACGTTTTACGTCTTACTATAAGTATATAAACGTGTCAGACTCTGTTAATTATGCTTACATGCTTGCCGATAACACACAGTTTTATTGTTAAATAATTGCAGCTCACTCACAATATTTATATGTAAAAACTACACATCCTATTAAACAGCCAGGACATACTTAATTTACTTATACGTACGTTACCAATTGCAAAGATGGATAAATACTAGTATAGAATAATTGACAATATATTGTGTATCACATGTTTGTAACACGATGCGCCAAATGCGTGATGATTACCGGAAGTTTACAGGAGGGAAAATTCAGAGACAAACAAGGTCGACAGTAAACACGATGGAAGCATAAACCTTGGGATTTAAATTCAGCCTAAGGTGAGAGCTATTTACACTTCAAAGTCAAACAAATTGAAATAAAGATTGGAATCTATTGCAGACTATATATACTCGTAATCACGTGTTTTGGCCAAGGAATCCACCTGACAATTGTATTCACCGATAGTGCAGCAAAGGAATGAATACAGACGCAGAAAGTTTTGCAGTATGACTTTGAGAAACCTAGACTTCCACGTATTTAACAAATGAATTGTTTGTCATTGTAAGCATGAAAATAATAGAATTTTTTACAAATGCTATTCCTTCACGAAATGGATGGAAAAATGGTCTTTGTGCCTTTCCGATTGCCGTAATATTTTCTTTAGTTTTCAAGCGTAAAATTCCAGTAGTACATGTATTCTTAGTAGCCCATAATGCAACTCTCAGCCAGCTGATTTGTCAGTTAAAGTCATGTCGGTGCCTCCTTTGCTAATCTGACGCCAAAAATATAGTCCCGGTTCCCATGCAAAATATTTGTCCGAAAAGAAATCTTTATTTATGACTACAGAAAATTGTATCATAGAAAATACTTATTTAAGTTTGAATGAATTCGAGGTAGATCGATTGAAGTACAGTAGTGTGACATGAATGAGTTCGCAAAATGGCGTCGTCGTCACAGCTTCCGGTCCCGCTTCGATTTTCAGTGATGTATTTCTGCGTCGATAATTTAACATTCACGATCCAATTTTATCCGAAATAAATAATTTTTTTTCCTTTTAACCGTATCTCATGATTTTTTTTCGTTATTCCCCTTTGGTAAACAATTTTATCGTCTGGACACAGACTACCAATTATTTTGCTATACATTCCTTTATAATATAAAAAATAATTAAAAAAATTACACCGGCTCAACTTACCTGAAACTTGGCACAGAGTAAGACCATTTCAAGTCCAAAAATTTATCAAGTTCTCAGGAACATTCATAGTCTGCAAGTCTTTTTATGGCATCGCAAATAACCCCTACCCTGCTTTTTTCACTTTCTCTTCGAGGTAAGGGTAAATATGGGCCTCTTTACACCCTTCCTACTACGCACCTAAAAGCAAAATTTCCCATTATTATCATTTTTATAATTTTTTTCAGACCCTCTCCTTTCCATTTTTGCCCCAAAATAACCCCATTCTACTCCATAAACACCCCCAAGAATTTTTAAGAAAAAACCTCTATTTTTAAACTGGAACTACTTGAGTGGTCAATGAAATAGGGGTAAAATTAGTAGTCTGTAACCTAATAAGGACACAAACCTTGTCTGATTTTGCTGCAATTTGACATGCTGGAGTCTTTTGCATATACAAAGTGGCCGGTGAAGTTTCATTGAAATTGATCATTCCTAAGCAGAGTTATGGCCCTTTAATTAATGTGTTGCAACACCTTAAATCAGAGGGTAAAATGAGCATTAGGCACACAGTTCTCAAA